ACTATCAAAATTATATATATTCAGAGACTAAGCATTAGTCTAGACATATGGTAACACACACACAGACATATATATATATATATATATATGTGTGTGTGTGTGTGTGTGTGTGTGTGTGTGTGTGTGTGTGTAAATAGGTGATTTCTGTAGGTGTATAAGCAATAAATATATAAAAGATGAGTCTAGATATTTCTTCCTGCCAAAATTCCTTTATATCTGCATACACATATACACACATACATATATATATATATAAATATTATTCTTACATTCTTTCAAAGTTTTCCTACATTTTGTAGCTTTATATAAAGGAATTACTGTAATATCTATAATTATGTTCTACACATTGCAATACCAGCTTTGCTTTGATTGAGAATCTGAATCCCCCGTTTCAACTTTAGTGATGGTTTGAAACCCCTCACAGCCACACACACACACAGCCACCCACATACACGAGTCTCAGTGTACATTGTACCTGTCACAGGCTCTCGCATGGAGCAATTGTACCATTTTGTGTCATTCAAAACTGTATAATGCATTATGGATTTCAAGAATCAAAAGCAAAGGGAAAGTTTTTATTCTGCAACTCAAAAGCAAAAGGTTAAACAATACAAATATGTAACAATAAACCTTCCTTGTAAGGCTTCACATATCTGCTAAAGATTCTCAAACATGGTTATTATAGAGTCGGAATCATAAAATACACTTGTAACGGATAAAAAAAAGTTTAGTTTCTTTTATTGCTATAATTATCTTCAATATAATTTTTATCAATGTCTTTCACTTTTATTACACCTGTAACCTTTCTTTATAACGATGTTTCTTATTCTGTGTAGCTGGTTTCGATACCGTGAAAAATGTAAGTGAAGTGTCATATTTGTTGTAAATACCTGGAATGTATGCAGTACAATACTCGATGATGATCTTATCAAACTCCTTCAATGTAATGTACTTGTACGTATCACAAGACAGAGTTCCAATAAACAGGTACAAGTTGATCCTGGATATATCGGCCGTGTACACGTGTTGCAATTTAATACGATATTGGCTCATATAAATAGCTGGCCTAAATCCGTATAAATATACTCAATAATAAATGTCATACTTGTGGCTCAACACTTAGAACAGAACGATAGCCTGTTGATTGTTATCATCATATTTTGTGAGATTTATTATCGGTAAATATCGTCCACAGAATTCTCACTCTCTCTCTCTCTTAATGAAGGCCTTCAAGCTGTCGAGTGGTCCTTTAGCGTCTGATTCAGAGATCTATATGATTATCAGGCCATAGAAAAGATTTGCTATATTGAACAGAACTTTCAACGAACGCCTGTAATATATAACACACAGCGACACTGTTACACGGTAGTTAAACGACTTACCATTTAAGCAGCATGGAACTGAAGTGAACCTCAGTGCATATATAGCCTGAACGCTCAAAGATCTTTACAAGTTGAAGAATGTTATTTCAAGTGAGATCGATTAATTTCTCAAGAAAACGCTCGCTCAGAAATTGACAGAATCTTGCCATCAGGATCACTCGCCTACCAATTGAGATTTGTTTTCTTAAAACATATTATACAACATTTAACACTGATAGCAGAAGAAAAATAAATATTGTTCAACTTTGGTCAAAGTCCGACTCAATTTACAGAGTTCTGTGCCGATGTTTTCTTCTAGACGCTCCTGTAAAAATAACCGCAATCCTGTACAGGATCTCACGTCACAAGTCTACGAGCACTGTCATGGTAATGAATTTCTACAATTGTGCTTCGCTGATAATTAAAATGACTTTCGGGTTTGTATTTCTATCAATGTACGGCTGAACTGTATCCCTTTTATGTATGAAACAATTCTAAAGAAGCTCAGACCTGCCCCCGTACTATTCATGGATTGGATATCAGCCACCGTGCCCACAATTCGTTTTAGTTCAGATGAACGCTACCGACAGCCACGCCTTGAAATAACACACAGCTGTTAATAAATACCAAATAGAGGCATATTGTGCTTTGTAATTTTATTAAAATTTATTCAAGCATTTTTATATTCCTTGTTTCATTCTTTTACAAACACAGTACATTGTATTCAAAGCAGGTGGAATAATAGAATAATATATGCTAACGAATACTTGAAATAATTTGATTGTTATGGCATAGTTGGCAATATCTGCGCATAGTACAGATATAGACATAATAGCTCACGCTTGAACTAGCTATGGTTGCAATGAATGAAGAAAAGAAATATTACGAAATTATTAACATTCTATATTTGTACACTACAGTTTTTACAATCATAAATGGAAATGTGTTAACAGGAGTGATTATGTATTCCAGTCCGTCACATATCTTGTAAGATGTAAATGAAATGTATATGGCGGTGTTAATGAATGCTGCATCAGATCACCGTTTTTTACATGCATGGAGAACAGTGTTCTTTTTGTGTTGACACTTCGACACTGTGATGCTTAATATCATCAGTATGACATATGACATTTGATACGTTTAAAACAGGATACAACGCCTTAACAACCTCATTTGACTTAAGATATCAATAACGCAGAAAAATACGCTTCAAAATGTGACAGTTTTTGTCATCTATAATATTTTTTTCAGAATGAACAAACACATACGGGAAAATTTATTTGACATATATCAAAGTTTATAAAACAGTAATATATCGTCTTACAATAACAATCTATATCCTCTCTGCACTGATATTATTTTAGTATAAATTGAATTCCTTCTATCAATGATAAATATTTCACATGTTCCTTTAACATGATGTAGTTGGTGCCAGTGTATTATACGGAGTCAAGAATGGCATCGTTTGACTTAACATGTCTCTACCAAAAGTCGTGTCAGTTGTCAAATTAAAATGTTTGAGAGATCTGGTATCTGTAGAAACTGTTTCAATAAGTCTTCTGTGTATTACATTTCATTTGATTGTAAAGACAATCGTTTTAATGATTGTAACGCATTTGATATCACACACGAGTTCACCAAAGCGATTGTGCGTAAGGTTTCTCTCGCTATCACTTAGAGCACTATTGTACGGCATAATGGCGCTTAAGTGTCCATAAATACGATACGTCCTGGAAATCAGCACATTTTTATTGTGTAATGGCCTGATTAGGCTTTCTAAAATAATGAAGAAACTCATTCCGATAAAAACAATTACTTTGAAAATTGATTCGATTTCTTAGGCCTGGTCCTGCGTTACACACACATCGGAGACACGGCCATAAAATGAAAGGCTGTCACACTCATAAAAGACATGAAGAATTCCACAGAAAACAGTACGAACCTGTGGCTGTATTTTGACATCGATCGATTCCATTCAAAAGAATGTGAATTAGAACGTGCCAAACCCGCATCGGAGCAGAACCCCATCAAATAAACTCAATCTAAAGACTCGCGAAAACTAAACAGAAACCACAAACATAAAATATGGATTTATACATCATTTAATTCATGAGCATTTTGTACACAATAAAAAGAATAAAATTATGAATACTCAAAAAGAATGAAACAAATGTGTCAATATAATTTTTCAACAATATTCATCCATATTTCCTGTGAAGCTAACGCCTTCAACGTGAGAAGTTGAGTGCTCGGCACCCGAATCGGCAGTACTATACGTAACATGGATAACAGTACATTCAAGACGTAGCTCTTCAGTATAGATTTCTGAAATCAAACTTTAACAATTGAGCTAGCTAGCACTAAAACATATAAAAGACAACAAAATTATTATGCTGAATTTAACAATTGTTACACAGACATATTGACTGGCGAATTTCAACATAATATTTAACTGTCTTTAAAGTAAAAGTCCCCGTGATTTCCTCGTGTCGATATGCAATGAAATTAAAGTTGACCTATTTAGATATATGCTGTTGTCTTACAACTGATTTTATTGCTGACAATTTGCCCCGTTTATAGACGTCTACGAATGTGAGACAAGAGACACGCTATGGTGTGCCTGGTACTGTATTCTCGCCTTCGAACGGTGTATTTGATACTTAAACTGTCAAAAGAAAGAGTGTTTAAATATCATAACTTACATCATAAATCGATAAACCTCAAAGATTACGCCACCTGGGAGTGATTTACAGGTAATACGGTGATTGTTCGATGTTATACACCCAGTAGGCCTGTTTTACTTAAAGCTGAGATGTTAAATCTACAGTAGGACCATCTTAAGCTGAACGGGGATTCAGGTGACTAACACAAGACCATTGGACAGTCTGGTTTTATTTCGAGAGCATGTTGACTTTAAAGCCTAGCACTATGTTTGTCCTTCTCGATATATTGTGTCTTACTCTAAATATATTGCACAAAACTGAGACCCCATCACGACTAAAGCCGATCTCGTGGTCCAAACCTAATGCGACAATTAACACACGTCCATAGTTTGTTTTAGTTTTTTTTTCTAGATTAAGAAAAGAATACAAAAGTACAATAAAAAATTTGGTTTTGTCAGCTTTTACAAGTTCGGTTTCAGGAGCTGTTCCAAGATAATAAATTTCATTGGTGATGCTAAATGATTAAAATGGTACAAGGGTGATTCGGTGATAAAATAATGATTCTAGGACGTGTATAGCTAGCGGACATTGTCCGTCGCACGAGGTTGGACATTGCACTTGGTCTACGAACCTCATGACAGAGGCGATGAAACCGCTACAATAGTCATTGAAATCCATCAGCTCTGCTGCGATGAAATGTTACATTATGCATGGTGAGGAACTGCCGTTTGGGTCATCCAGATTGCACGTTTGACAGCACATTAATCACATCAGTTCAAAATCAACTGTGTCCACCGCTAGCCAGCCGATCTAATGAAGTTTATACAAGTTCAAAATCACAAAGCCTCATCCAACATTTTCTAGAAAAATGTTTTTGTTCTGGTTCATTAAATACCTCCCTCTCCTCACCGTCCAAGTGGAAAATTCAGCAATTAATCTTCTCTGAGTAATGACACTATCCACATGCGCCGCACTAGAGTAACGAATGTTATGGTTGTATTGAGGGTACAGACACCCGATCGAGTTGTGGTTGTTTGACACGGGTATAGACCCAAGATATCACCACGGGCCGATTGAGATCATTCACATAGCTGTTAGTAATCGTCACTTATATGACAGCTGGGTGTCGGAAATGGTCCTCTGGTTTGACTAACAGATATGCCACGGGTCTGTGTACATCCTGGGTTGGCATATACGACGGGGGACAGCATGGCACGAGGTATTGTCCCGGTAACCCGGAATGGGAGCCCCCATGAGCAGCCGGAGGTAATCCCATAGCCGAATTGTGGGTGTGGAGGTAGGGGCTGTATAGAGGGTTCCCCAGGAGCTCTGGGTGCCGTAGTCCTAGGGGGTTACCGCTTTCCATCTTGCCCGTGGGGTCGAGATGGGGGTATAGTCCATGGGTGGAGGTAGGGGGTAGAAAAGCTCGAGCTTTTTCACTGAGGAGAGCAGCACTGGAGAGAGAGTCGTGGTGGCTTGATAGAGATGCGAAGTTGTGAGCCATACTGCTGAGGGCACTGGTGTTCATACCCGGAATCATGGGGATGGGGAAGGCATATTTGTCCTTCTTCAACAGAGATTTGGGCTTCCGTCTTGGTCGGTACTTATAATCCGGGTGCTCTTTCATATGCAGCGCTCGAAGTCTCTTGGCTTCATCAATGAACGGCCTCTTCTCCTCTTCATTAAGTAACTTCCACTCCGCACCCAGACGCTTGCTTATCTCCGAATTGTGCATTTTCGGATTTTCCTGGGCCATTTTTCTCCTCTGTCCTCTAGACCAAACCATGAAGGCATTCATAGGCCGTTTCACGTGATCATTGTTTTTAGGTCCGGGAGAAAGCGACAGGCTTGGCATGCTTGATACTTCAGATGTAGGAGGAGGCGATGGTGATTCCTCCGAACGAGATTGAGAGCTCATTTTGAAAGTGTCGTCTGCTCACTGTGTCGTCTGCTAGTGTCAAGTCTGGTGTTTACCACCCAGAGTCCACGTCTGACACCGAACCACAAGCACAATGTAAACCGAGTCCACGTTCAGGGGTGTACCACAGACAACTAACTGCAAGACACTTCAAAGATTACTTTTATCTAACCGGAACTATCCGCAGTCATGTCGATCACAAGCCAATCAAACGCTAATTTCTCATAATCCATTTCCCTTGTCAGTTCCCATTACTCAGGCCCGGCAACGAGCACTGACAATTGTTCAGCCCTTTCAAACATCTCGACGTTCTGATTGGTCGACACATTCCGCCGTACTTTAAAGACACGCCTTCCGTATACTAGCTAGGCCGAAATGTCTTTGAAGAAGACACGTACATTTGTAAAAAAAATTAACTTTATTCGTATCTACATATAGTACCCATTCCTTTCGTAAAACAGCGAGTCAGTGTGTAAATCATTACGAAAATCGCATTTCAAGGGGCGTGGATTTCCGTCAATCAAAATATTAGCCCGCCCCGTTTAAAAGCCCAACAAGCGTGTCTGAGCCTACCACGTGCTCGCCAACAAGGCTGAAATCCCCAACACAACTTCCTAATCTGATACTCCACAGCGGGTGACTTCTACAACAATGCGAGAACCATGGTCCTAACTCATAGTGTAAGTCTTTCACTTTATTGCACGACAGACTGAATGTGTTGATTAAATCTTGCAGCGAGGGAAAGTGATGACGAGAAGAGTTGCCGTGGCCCGCTGACAAGCTGCACATGCTCTGTGTTCCCAAGGGCCGGACTTGCGTGAATGCGAACGTTTTCACAGACAAGCGCACTGAAAAGACGACGGTCCTTTGCTCGAGCGTCGTCCGTCAACTCAAGTGATTTCGCACTATTAGCGCTTTTTAGACACGGGTCGGAGCGATAGGGGTGTTTGGGCCCACAAGCCTAACATATGGCGTGATTTAGACGTCTCAACGATAATGAGTTTCATTGATGATTTAATTCGATGTGTGCATTATAAATGCGATAAGGATATTTCGCTATAGTTAGACGAGACAAAGTCAACACGTTGACTGCTGTTAAAAAGACGATAGCTGTTACAATCGGCGGAAAAATTGTTTTCTTTGGCGAAAAAAATCAATTTAAATTTGTTGTTTTGGTTCTTAGTTTCGGTGAGAAGAAAATGACTTTTGATTTAATGTAACAGAATATATGTCGAGATTTCATTCCTTTGTGATCAACCCCTCGATGTTAAAAATAAAGAGTTGATATAGCGATATGAAATATAGTGATAATTACTATTTAGTAATTTAACAGTTATTTAAATTAAATATTTCTAGTTGTAAATTCAATGAAAATGAAACACCTTAATTGAATATTTTGACCTTATAAATGCAAGGTTTTAATGCACACATTTTCCCAATCATTATATTTTACAGTGGTGCCATTCACATGCTTGGCCACACTATACTATCTCTTAAATAGAAATGTTAAAATTTCAAGAGCACTGTGAAGACAACGGGTTATGTTTTTAGACTGTAAATTGTGGTCGTTGTCTAACAGACATTAAACGCTGTCTGAATGAGCTGAAGACAGATCTTAACAGGTACTTAGAAATCGTTTCGGGGATACCATAGCGAGGTGATATTCTGTCACTGCTTTGCACAGGCCGTACCTGTTAACATGATGTGTCACTTACATTTATACCGCCTTTAAATAGTCATAAAACACTAAGAGTAAAATCAAGGATATATATTTCTTTTACTTACAAGAACTTAAAGTGTAGTAAAATTCTAACACGTGTCCAGTCAACGTGTCAGTAGATATCATCTTCATCATCATCATCATCATCATCATCATCACTATCATCATCATCACCGCATCACTACAACTGTTGTCGCTGCTATTATGATTATATATTATTATTTACAAATAACTATTATTTCACATCAGTGCATCGCGCTTTCTTTATCATATCAAACATAAACATAATTATCAAAATGAAAAATCTGGAATTTATATAGTAATTCATTCCTTGTATCATCATTACAAACCGTTAAAATTGAACGCAGCTTATGAGATTTGTAAACATACATACCCACTATCAGTTACCATGTCATAGCAGGTACCCAACACAAACTCGAAATAGAAGATTATTCCTCAAAAAGTAAAAGTACACAAGGTCATTATTATCAGAATAAGTTGGCTGTGACTTTCTTTGTCACTGACATTTTCCATCAACTAATAAAAATACGCACGTTACCGACACTGATATTGACATTTAGTCGACGTAAGTCACGCCAGTGTGATGGATCCATGTAGACGATTTGAATGAACCAAAGACAAAAATACATTGATGAAATAAAAATAGGGATTATAAGTGTGTGTTTTATAGTTACCGTTTGTCAGTCAGACATTGTAGTGTTAGTGGGCTTATTTCTTCCTGACATGCAACTTGGACCGATCAACTGGTTATCTATGACTTTGGTGCCAGTGTGTTTTCGTATATACTATCACAAAATCTCTTACAAAAATTCTAATCATGATATTTTATGACTAGTAATCACGTAATGATTGATCAAAGTATGTACTTACATTTTACTGTATTTTCAATACTATAATGATATATTCTCTGTATATATGTATTGTACTATAGGTTGTGCTAGATGAATTATCGATCATAAATTATACAAAGGTCTTTGAAAACCGGGTTGAGTTTGAGCAAACACACATTGTGAAGAACAACAGGTATTTTACCAAGTAAAATCGTATTTACTGCAACATGTTCTACCTATCTCGAAATATCGATCTCGTTTTAAACCATATTTTGAGTCATCGATTTTTCTATGTAGTCTTTCAGTGACATTGAATATTTTAATATCCATATTGATATGGAAAACATATGCAACGACATGGTTTCATTTTGATAAGTGAATGATGATACAGAGTATGCTTGGTGTGTTTCTATAGATTTGAGGCACATCTGTCGTAATGTCCCACCTCCATCAGCGGCGGACGAAAGCGCGACGACGCCCTACTGTTTTGTTACCTCTAGGCGTTAGGGGATCGATGTACTATCAAGCGCGTTTGCAACACTCCTTATTAACACAAAGTCAATTAAACGTGTAATTGGCGTAAATCAGTTTCAATGGCACCTAGTGTGGCAGGATAGATAAGACTCCCCTGATACTCAGTTACAGTTAACATGGTAACTCCCGTAGGGCCATTAAGGATTTAACACCAGTTTACAGACATACAGACATGAGGCATGTGTTGTTGAAGGTTTAATAACCGGCGTTCTCGTGTATTAACAATATTCCGTGTAAAACCGTAACTCCTATATCTTTACAGGACCAAACAGATGATGCTAACAACACTGTACCATTCAATAAATCATTTCAAATTGTGCATTGATTATCAGTTGCAAATTTATATAATGGCTAGGATGGTAAGTGACATTTCAAGCATACAAGTTCTGAAACCACAGTATTCACATGCAAGAATTCTAAATAAAACAAATGTATGACATTCTACATACTTGCCAAAAAACATAGATCAGTTTATTTTATGTTAAATCCACTTTTAAGAAACAGGTTAATTGAATGGCTTATAATATTTGGTGTTAAGGGATAAAGCAGTGAAAACTATGTACGGTGCATACACGTTCTACAGTACAAATCAACAGTGTTATTGATGATTGTAAATATAGCATACCGTTGATTCTCACTGCTTCAGTTTGTAAAATGTGATATTATGTTGTGAATTGTACAGTACAACCAGAAATTATTGAGAATTTAAAGATTGTAATTTTTTATTTTTTTTCACTCATTACTCACGTATTAAATGTGAATATTAGCAGAACATAACTCCAGATTCAAAGACAGGTGAACAGTTAGTATTTTGTCAAGTCACCATGGGCAGCAATGCAGGGATCAATGCGGCGGAGCATACTACTGATCAAAGAAGTTAGAAAGTCGTGGTCCATGCTGTCCCAATATCGGACCACCTCTTCTTTCATTTCAGCAATATTTGTCAGATTTTTCTTTTTGACACTTTCCTTCATAAGTCCCCAAACATTTTCTATTGGATTTAGGTCAGGGCTATAGCTTGGCCAATCTAATAATGTCATATTTTGGGTCCGAAACCAGGCCTGTGAATGCTTTGAACGATGTTTTGGGTCGTTGTCCTGCTGGAAAATCAGAATTCTTCCATAGAACACGTGAACAGATGGAAGTAAATGTCCCTTGAGAATATCTGTGTACCGCTCACTGTTCATATTCCCTTCAAATACACAGAGGGGGCGTTGCCCCTAACACAGATATGCCACCCCACACGTTAAATTTTGGACCGTACTTTGGGCGCTGATACAAGTTTTTTTCATTTTGTTTGGTCGAGAATTTCATTGTATTAGGAAACAGCCACTCAGAACATTCATCTGAGAAAATCACATTGTCCCAGTTAAAATTTCTATGCTGTAAGCACCAGTTCAACCTTTGCTCCTTTTGTTCAGGTTTCATGATCGGTGATGGAATTCCTCGACTTTTCTGCCAACCCATTGCATGCAGCTCAGTTCTAATTGTCTCCTTACAGACAGCCACAGTTCCTCTATTAATCATATCCAGCCTTAAGTTTTCTAAACTCCTTCGTTTGTTTTTAGAAACAAGAATACCAAGCCGCCTCCTGTCACCGACAGTCAATTTTCTGGGCCTACCTGCGCCTCCCTGGTGCTCAATGCCATATCCATTTGCAATATTTTTCAAAACACGATAAACAGTGGACAAAGGGATGCCTGTTCTACTTGAAATCCCTTTAGCTGATCTGATGTCCTTGTTATAATACTCTAAAATCAACTTCCTCTTCTCTAAATCATCCATACTGAGGATCACTGAAAATGTCGTCTGCTAGCAAGTAAAGAAAGGGGGATAACTCTTCACAAACTAATGAAAAAGGATTAACGGAGTTGTCTCTCTTGAATGAAACCAAGCACTTGATAGCTGGTCACGGTTGTTTATACTAGAAATCCATTGAAACATATTCCTAAAATTCTCAATAATTTCTGGTCATACTATATGTATGTTTCATGATGGCTAGAAAATGAGCCAGACGGACAGTGATAAAGTGAGCTTGCTGAACGTCCCTTAG